CATCGGCAGGCGGACTCCCAACCACTGTGCCACCAGGGAAGCCCCTAAGCGAGCTTTTTAGCAGTTGATAAAACTAGAGCTCCAAGAACTTTGATTTTCTTCATTCTCAGTAATCCCTAGGTGACTTAGGGATCTGATATAAAATAAATCCCTGAATGGCTTTATAGGGCATCAGCCTCCCATCCAGAATTGGGGAATTGGGATTAAAATTCATGGCTTTGCTTTGATTTTTTTTGGACAGGGTGGTCTTTTTTTTCACAGATTATCCTTGTCAGAGCTCAACTTACAAGTAGGCCCCAAGATCCACAATTTTTTTCACACTGACTATTGTGTGCAGAAATGTTACTACATTTCACTTTTTTGGAGAGGGTCCTAAATGGAGGCATGGGGGAGCACATGAAAAACAAATATTGTATACTTCTCAATTTTGCTCAGGGCCTGCCTTGACCCAAGACTTAGAATAATGGACCATAATAATATAATATGCTACAAAGCAGGAAAACAAAGTCACAAACTTAGGTAAGTCTTTGTCATTGAAGTTGATAGTATTACAAAACATTTAATACTGGTATACCTACTGACAATAGCAAATTTGGGTTTAAAGAATTTCTGCAGTTATTACCATCTTAAGTCAGGGATCCATCAAGTTTTTTGTCAAAAGGAGTTACTTTTATTTCCACTAAGTCTTGAGATTACAGGAAGTGGGGACAGGAAAATTCCCGAACAGAGTGAGCCTGAATGGGCCATTAAAAAAAATCTACTTTGGTATAGTTCAGTAATTTTCCAGAAAGACTTCCTAGGCCAGGTAGATGACTTCTCTGTCCAGGCAGTCTCTGCTTTTGTAGGTTAATGAATTTTTATCCACCAAGAAGTCGGTGGCCTATTAGGCCAGGAGTACAGCACAGATCACCCCTCACAGAGAAGAACGAAGATGATGATCAGGGAGAAGCCGGCTGTCTGGGTTTTGTCTTCCTGGGTCCAGCAGCCCCTTGTGCAGCCCATCCATATTCCATTCCTGGAGTTTCAGGAGCTACCCCTATCCTTATAATAACAAAGGACCCCCCTTTTTGCTTGTTAACTTGAGTGTTTCTTGCAAAAAATCTTGGAAATAATAACAGGTTATAGGGACTTCCCTGGTGGCGCAGTGGTTAGGAATCCACCTGGCAATGCAGGGGACACACGTTCGAGCCCTGATCCCGGAAGATCCCACATGCCGCAGAGCAACTAAGCCTGTGCACCACAACTACTGAAGCTGGTGCCCCTAGAGCCCGTGCTCTGCAACAAGAGAAGCCACCGCAATGAGAAGCCCGCGCACCGCAACAAAGAGTAGCCCCCACTTGACGCAACTAGAGAAAGCCCGCTCACAGCAACGAAGACCCAATGCAGCCAAAGATAAATAAATAAAATAAATTTATATATATAAAAAGAACAGGTTATAAAGAGATACTTCCAGATTACCTCAGTTCCTAGGGATTTAATTCTAGGAATCCACAAGGAAATAAGAACAGGAACCAGGCCTCATAGAGACAAAAGTATTGCTTAAAAAAAAGAAAAAAACAGGGAATTCCCTGGCGGTCCAGTAGTTAAGGACTCCACACTTCCACTGCAGGGGGCATGGGTTCGATTCCTGGTCGGGGAAGTAGGAGCCTGCATGCCGTGGGGCACAGCCAAAAAAATTAAATTAAATTAAATTAAAATTAAAAATAAATAAAAAAACCAAAACTGTCATGGCCAGTGGCCAAGTAGAATGCCACTGTAGGTACAAGCATGCTTAGGTCCCAACTCCACTGCTCCACTATTACAGTGACTCAATGACCCTCTGTCACTGCCTCAGCTTCTCCTCTCACCCCTGAAGAACTTCTCCACACAAGGCCTCTGTTCTGCTTACTACCTCCCCTGTGTGGGCCTCCCTGCTTCTGGGTTACTCTGACCATGTCCCTGTCTGTTCCATACTCAACCCTCTTTCTGGGAGAGGCTTATTGGCTCAGTGAATCAAATTCAGTCTAGAATGCGGGGCTACCCTACCAGGTCACCTCACAGGCCTCTGGGTAGCCCGTGACTGGGTCATATGGGAAGTAACCTTTTTGGCCACCTGCTAAGAGGGGCCTGTGCATAGAGCAGGTGCTCAGTGTTACCTGCAGCAGGGCTGCGTAGCATATTATCACCTATGCTGTGAACTCACTCAGGAATGAAATGGGAGCCCAATAAACACATTGCTGAAAACAGCTATACACTATTTTTGAATCCTGGAAGAAATATTTAGCAATGCTTAAATGAGCCTAATAAAACTCATGTTATCTATATTATAAAAATGCACGCAAGTCCTATTGCGTGCATGTTTTTTTCTAAGAGAGCAAAAAACGACGTTAGTGGGGCAGTAAAGGTGGTGTGCACACTGGATGTTAAAAGTTTTAGGTTTGGAGCTTGAGCACGTCTGAATCATGGAGTACAAGGGGCAGGCAACTGCTGCCCTTCCTTTCCAGAGACATCTCCAGCCTGAGGAAGGTACCGGAGAGATAAAGGAGGGAGCAGAGGCTTGGAAAGAAGGTTGGTCCTTCCACCCATCGTTCGTTCATTCATTCATTCACTCACCACACACGCACTAGACACCAGACCCTGTACTAGGAACTCGGGCTAACCAGAGCCAGCGCCTCTCCTAGTGAAATCGTAACGAAACAAGCCACAGACTCGTTTCCCACGCGGAGGAGGAGCCTCCGGGCGAAGGAGGGGCGCCTTTCTCTCGCACTGAAACCTGTCCTGCCCGCCCTGTCCACTCCCCCAAGATGGCGGCCGCCCCGACGCCTACTCCGGCGCCGGCCGAGGGGGAACCTTCCCATGCCTTCGGGCTACCGCCTCGTCCCGGCCCCTCCCGGCCCACCGGGGACTCCGCGGAGTCAAACGGCTCCGAGGTGCCACGCCAGGAAGCCCCAGTTGGGCATCGCCGCCCGGCAGCAGAGCTGACCCCGAGCCCCGCCCCCGAGCCCCGCCCCCCGAGCCCCAGGCCGCCTGCCCGCGTCGGCGCCTGTTGACGCCACTGGGGGCGTGTCTGCGGGACCCGCGACGTCGCGACGCGTCAACAATGGCGACTGCGTCAACAATGGCGACTGCGTCAGCGTGAGCGGGCCTCCGTTGTCAAGCGGTTTCCAGACGTTGAGGCGGGACCCGCCGTCGTCTTAGAATCGGCCGCCGGGGAGCACAGAACACCTTGTGCCCGCTCCCGCCGCGTTGTGGATCGAGCGGCGGTGTCAAGATCCAGCGGGGCAAGCCAGGTGGGCGGCTGGGCCGGGAGCAGCGGCGCCTGCGCGCGGTGGGCGGGGGGCGGTGCGGCTGGCGAGCGGCCCTGACTTCCCGGGGGCTGCTGGGGCGCCGCGGGGAGGCGGGCGGGGGGGCGCGGGCTGAGCACGGCCAGCCTCCCTTTCTCTGTTCCCCTCCAGCGTCACTTCGGCCTCTTCGCTTTCCCGGACACTGCACCTGGCCTAAGTCGGCAACATGAGCGGCAACAACTTGGATGAGAACGACGAGTTTGATGAGCAGTTGCGAATGCAAAAATTGTACGGAGGCACTGAGGACGGCGACACCGAGAAAGATCCCTGTGGAGAAAACGATTCTTTCCAGCAGCAGCCGACTGACACCCCATACGAGTGGGACCTGGACAAGAAGGCTTGGTTCCCCAAGGTAAAAGTCGCACGGGCGCCGATGCGCAGCGGGCCCGGCTGGCCAGCCTCGCGGGGCGCTCCTTTCACGTTTTCTTTGCTGAGGTCCTGGGTTAGAGCCCCTCTGGATAGTGACGTTTCTTTTTGTTGTGTCTGTAGCAGAACCGACTTGTAAAGGAACGGAAATCTTTAGGGAGATGGCTTCAATGTAATTTAATTATTAAGCCTTTTCCATGCCTAATAAATTTTATCTATGAAGGTTGCAGTTGGTGACTGCTTTTTATTGCAAAGAGGAAAAACACCAAGAGCAAATTCAGTCGATGTTAATCTCACGTAGTCTCAATCTTACTTATCCTAGGAATTCAGATGTTTAGCTGATGTGCTATGTGCAAAATTTAGCTTCTTGATTTGAAAAATTGATAATTCTTTACTGATTGAACTTTGCACCTCTTTTTACTTTCCTACTAAATTTTGTCCCTAGACACGTATGTTTGAACCATATTACCACGGGAATATGACAAGAGGTGCACAGAATATGGATGGAAAAGATCTGAGCATATTTATTTAGAGTACTTGGAAATTGTGAAGTATTCTATTTTAGCTTGAAGGTAAAATGACTGATGTTAAGCTTGGCTCTAAACTTTTTGGTCAAAGTACCCTGTTAATCAAAGTCTCACGGTATGGGTGGAAAAAAAGGATACTTATCACACACTAATAGACTTGCAAGCCAGTAATACAAACTGTGTCTCCATTGTGTAATTTGAGTGTGATTTTTTAATTATTTATTTCACCTTTTTTTCTTTCCCACTTTGTATTTGTGTGTACGTTCCAATCCCTCTGAATTGTTAAACTTACTATTTCACTTGGCTGCTGGTGGTGCCAGCGAGAGTGCATATTTGGTTTCTTCAGCCTTCGGAGTACTTTAACAATCGTCTGATAATGGATTAATTTGTGGCTCTATCTTTTTATGTTATGGAAGCCCATACCTCTTCAAACTTCAAGTTTTAAATTTTCCTCATTCCTGTGTGTGCCTAACATTGATTGGTATGAAGATATAACTGTATTTCTTTTGTTGTGCAATTGTGTTTTTTCCCTAAGAGCCAGGAGGATAGATGTGAGTTGGATTTGTTCTTGATTTGTTCTGACATTAAATGATAATGTGATTTAATTAGTGACAGTGTTAAAATAGCATTTAATTTTATAATTGTTAGCCCCATTCTTTACACACCAAATCAGAGTTCTACTCTTTGTGTTCTCTGCCTACAGGTATTTAAATATTTAGAGTACATATATTTTTGTTCATCCATATAGTAAAAGAAAATTTGATCCTGTTGTTAGATTGTTAGTTGACTGTTGGTTTTTATTCTGTTTGTTGTTGTCTGATACTTCCTTTGTTATATTTATTTGTAGCCTTAGTCAAGTAGACTGCAGAGATAGTAATTTACAAATGAAACAACTAGAAAAGGTGCCAACTTAAAATGCCTTTAATAGTATCTCAGACTTTTGTGCTGATAATCCAAGTACCCATGTCTTAATTTTTTATTATTTTGTGTGCAGTTTTCTATATAAGGTGACTGTTCTTGCATTTACACAGAAACACTTGTATGTTAAGTTGTGTAACTGAATATGCTGTTATTTAACACTGTAAACTGCTTGCGTGAGGAAATCATTTTTGAATTTATGTATGTGTGCTGAATTTCTTGTTTAGATCACTGAAGATTTTATTGCTACATATCAGGCCAGTTATGGCTTTTCTAACGATGGTGCGTCTAGTTCTACTGCAAATGTCCAAGATGTCAGCGCTCGGACTGCAGAGGAACCTCCGCAAAGAAAATCCCCCGAACCCAGTGATACCAAAAAAAGGGGAGAAAAGAGAAAGGGTGAATCAGGCAAGTGGATTTAGCTTTCAAACATGAGTGTAAAAATTAAAAATATGAGTGTGTGTGTGTATATATAGTTACTTTTTGGAGAATTATAAAATAGCTTTGACAGAATCATAAGATGGGTTTTTTAAATATTATTATTTGGGTTCATATGTTGGCTCTCTCACTAACCTGTGGGCATCCGGTGGGCTCTTTCAATTCAGTTCAGTTCTCAGTTTCTTCCTTTGTAAAATAGAGCTGTCATTAGGAGATTATCTAAAGTTCTGTTTGTAAGGTGATTTTTTTTTTGTACTTTTTGCATTTAATTAAACTCAAGAAGTCAGTTTTGCTTCAGCTTGGCCAGGTCTAACACAGTAGATTGGAGTCAGAAGCAACTTACGCCAAGGCCTAAAGTCAGTGCAAGGGTGAGGTTTTTTAAAGGTAGTATCAGATTCATAAAGAACCAGGATAAACTAGCCATCTTTTTTCAGACTGGGCTCTGAAACAAATTACTTGTCCAAAGATCCAAATACTTTGAAAGCTGGACAGTGATTTGATTTAATCTGTCTTGTTCTAAAGGTAAGAAAAAGTTTCTGGAGGTTTTGAGAAACTGCCACACTGTCAGGATTTCATAATGGGACTCTTACCTTTTCTGGCATGTGTTTTATTTATTTATTCGATTTTGATTTTTAGGATGGTTTCATGTTGAAGAAGGCAGAAACACAAATGTGTATGTTTCTGGTATGTATACCTTTTTAACCACATTTAGAGTAGAAAATATTTGATTTTGAGATTTTTCACAAAGTGATTTTTAGTTTTCAGTTTCTCTAAATTCTATTTTGTATCGTTGTGTCATTATTTGTTCAGCCACTTACGTGAGTGAGGAATATGTTGTTTTTTTATGAAACTGAGAAAAATTAAGTGTATGTAACTTTGTGTGCCATCCTTTCTGTCTGCTTTAGGTAACTCACAGCTCTTTGCCCCTTCAGATTCATTGATACAAGGCCTAAGCAAAGCATGATTTTAATGTATATTTGAATACATTAAAACATGACATTTCCTCACGTCTATAGATGTGAGATTTTTACATACTTTTAGAAAATCAAAATTGCGCTCATCCAAGTTATGGATTTCGAATTGGTAGAATCCCTAAGTAATGCTCACTTTTGTTTTAGATGCCTTTATAATTTTTTTCCCCCTAACGTCACAGGTTTGCCTCCAGATATTACAGTGGATGAATTTATACAGATCATGTCCAAGTTTGGCATTATTATGAGAGATCCTCAAACAGAAGAATTTAAGGTCAAGCTTTACAAAGATAATCAAGGAAATCTTAAAGGAGATGGACTTTGCTGTTATTTGAAGGTTAGTTATGTGGTCAAGTAAGTTTCTCCTATCTCCGTTTCTTTTTTTTTTTTTTTTTTCCATTTTCCTATCTCCATTTTTAACTCAGGAACCAGGGCTATAATTTTGTATAGATGATAACCAAGAGTGAGAGCTATTCAAAACAGGATGTGAAGAAAACTGTTGTTTCATGTTGTGCTTGTGTGTATCACATTGGTAAGGTTATTCACTTGCTCTTGTAAGAAAATATGTTATCAGGTCAAGGTATTATGTAAGTCATATGACTGAGGTACTTCTGTTTTCTCAAAAAAATTCTTGCTGCAAAGATCTCTTTAGGAGCGTATGCATATAATCAATGCAGAACAGATTCTAAGAATCCACAGAGAAAAGAAAGCCAGTAACATTTTATTTGCCCATTGGAATGAATTAGACCAGGGTTTGGCAAACTTCAGCCTACTGCCTGTCTTTGTAAATGAAGTTTTATTATAACCGGGCCACATTGATTCATTTACGCATTTGTCTGTACCTCCTTTCACATTTTCAGCAGCAGAGTTGAGTGGTCGCAACACAGACCACAGGGCCCACACAGCCTAAAATATTCACTCACTAGCCCTTTGCAAAAGTTTTCTGACCCTGAATTAGACCATAAAGGTGATAACTTATGCTTACTGCTTTGAAATATATTTTGAATGAGAGAGAAGAGAGAGTGGTATTAACAGACATTTGCAGAAATTTATTTATTCATGATACCATAAATGGCATGGGGGGGAAAGCTCAGTGCCAAAGGCAGCCATCATTTTTGGAACACCTGTCCCCTTAGGAGCATGTGTTATGCATTGCTGCACGGTACAAAAGAAATGGGCACAATGATGACGTGCACATGTGTCATGGAACCTGAAAATAATTACAAAGCAAAATCAAAGTGATGAAACAACAGTACCAACATCACAAGTGTGTTGCAAGTGTACAACATTTCAGTGTAATCAGAGGGCGGGTAAGATTAAGTTGACAGCCTTTGGGGGAGATAGGTTTTTGACCTGGTTCTTGAACATGATGAGATCACACATGAGTACGACCATTATAGGAAGATATTTATGTAATTTTCAAATGTAAGGAGATTGAATGCTTTATAAGTTCTTCAAGGATTACTAAAAATCTGTGAACAGATTCTTAGGGGGGTTGATTGGGTTTTAAAATTTTGAAGAGAAAAACGGGGTTTTGACAAACTTGATATGTCAAATTTATGACCCATAAAAATGCAAGATTGCCAAACCAGTAAATTGAGTTCCAGAAGAATATAGTTAATTGTTCCAGGATCCATATTTGATTGCGTGACTGAGTTCAGTTGTCCTTTTGAGTTCTCCTCAGGTCCTCAGATCTTTGAATCTGTGTAGAGCTGACAATTGCCCCCTTTGTATAGGACCCAGAATCCACAAGTGTGTGTAAGGTTCAAGCTATCAGATAAGCATCTTGTTCCCAGTATATCACAGACCTACATTTTAATTGGTGAACACAAAAGATTAAAGGCTGACTATGCTATTCCCAGTCTCTTGAGTCATCTAGTCTTTTAAGTAGGAAACTTTTAGAATTTTAAAACTGGAATGCACCTTGGAAATCACACAAGTCCATTTACCTCATTGTATAGAGGAGAAATTGCGATTCCAGGAGGCAAAAATACTATTCCAGTAATGGTATAACTTATTGAGTACCTACTGTATGCCAGTCACTATCCTTTATGTGCCTTGTTTAATTTAAATTTGTCAAGAACCCTGCAAAGAAGGCATTTCCATTCCCATTTTACAGATGAAGAAACTGGGGCTCAGGGAGCTTGAATAACTTGCCTAGGTTCACATAACTGGTTGGGGACAGCTATGTCTTAAGTACACATTTTCCGATACATGTTCTGTAGTTCTTTTTTCCCATGTAGGTAGTTACATTTAAATCTTTATTTTATGTATAGTCATCATTCATCTAAAACACTCCTGCT